GAGAGAAAAGGATGTGTAACTGACGGTCTGGATGGGGCAAAAGAAGAGACATTCCCAGATGGCCCAGATACATGGCTTGTACCTCTGTGTGAACAGCCGGGTGATATTCTTGGCATAGCAATCACTCCAGGAGGTGACGGGCAACTTTTTTATGGATCATGTTAGAGCATAACTAACTTTTATATAAACCCCTGGGGATTTTGTCTGGTGAGCTGATAGCAGGAGATTCCATTGAGCCAGTCTTGTGGAGACCGGAGGGTAGTTCCTTTCAGTGGGTCCAGGCTGTGTTTGCCTTCTTCAATGTGGCTTTGTACTGAGCCCACCATCTCAACAGCAATTATTCTAGAATGTCTTTTGTATTCATCAACATCACTCTGTATGGGTAGTAATATTAATAACTACCATCAGTGGGAGGTTACCATATGACAGACATTATATATATATATATATATATATATATATATATATATATATATTTATATAGTTTCAAAATATCACAGTAGCCCTGCAAAGAAAGTAGTATTAACTTGAGCACCAGAGAGGTAAGGTAACTACCCTAAAGCCACACAGCTAGTGAGGCAGAATGTGATTTGCACCCTGGGCTGCCTGACAAAGTCTGTGCTGTTTCCACTATGCTGCAAGGTTGTCCATCTCATTATAATCCATTCCCCATTCAAGACCCTGGGCTCTACTTTTTGTCCACAGAGAGGCAAATAAAGGTGGGGCATTTACAAAATACTTTCATATGCTTTAATGAGAAACTCTTCCAAACAGGTTTTGCTCAGTTTCCATGAAGGTATTTGGGTTATTCTGAGTTCCAAAGTTTCCAAAGGACTAAAAAGTACATAATAATAAAATAAATTTAAGGAGAAAATTATTTATTCTTAAAAACCTATTTTATGATACAAAAATAATCCAGTTGAGAAAGAATGAAATCAGGAAAGGATGCTTCATTTCACTAGCCATAGGAAGGTATAGAGATACTTAGGAGATAACATTCTAGAACCAAAACATAGGCGGGGCATGGGGATGATTATTGGGGATGATGGATGAATAAATTCAGATTTTGTCTCTCATTCAGCAGTGTGGACCCATCAGTCAAGTAACTAGTTATTAAATGTCTACTCTGTCTGAAGTGTTAGTTTTGGTGGCGGGAAGGTAAGAAGGCATGGAGGCATAAAAAGAAACTGAAAGTCACTGCACCTCTTGGGACTTTCAGGAGATGTGAAATGCATAGTTATTGATACCCTAAAATGCAAAGGCAAGATCAGGTATTTTGACGATACTACTCAGGACCACAGAGTTTAACAGCCGAGCCTCAGAGATCACCTTGTCTAACACTTACATTTTATAAGTAATGAAATTAGGCCCCAAAATGTCTGTGAATTGCCTGATATCACAAAGTTAGCTGGCGTAAGAGCTACCTCTGACATAAGTCTGTTTGTACTGCTGTTACTTTTGTTCAAGAATTGATTTAAAATTATGTAGTACATTCTTGACAGAAGAAAAAGAACCATTTTATTTAATTTAGGGGAAAATAGCAAAGAGATTCTAGCCTGTCATTTGGGAGGGGGGTGATCATAGAGGAGTGTTGTGCTTGTACTTGTGGCCCAGGATCTGTATTGCAGCTTTAAAAAAATAATAGGAAAAAACTTGAATTTCTACCATTAGATGACTGAATATGATAGAGTTCATCCACACAATGGAATATTATGTAGCCACTAACAAAACGAGGCAGATCTATATGTAATTGCTAGACATATTTTAAGTGAGAAAAATAAGATGCAGTTCAAAGCCATGTATTTCTGTACCCAGTTTTTCACAGTCTCAGCTCAGTGTGAATTAACACAAAATGATTTATTTTTCCCAAGGATAGCTATAATAGATATTGTCATTTGTGTTGCCACAAATCTATCAAACATTTTTCCACATTTTAATATTTTCCCATAATTTAAATCCAATTTTTCCAATGTAGAATCAAAAACAATGACAATGACCATATGTTGCCCCAAGGATGAAGACATATAATTTAGGTTCCATAAATAAAATATGTCTACAAAAAACTTTGATTTAGAACTAATTTTTGTTTAAAAACTAGGACATGGAGCATCCATTTGGCCTTCTCAGAAGAAGCAGTGTCTTGAAGCCAGAAGTTGTGGTAGCCTCCTGATTTGTTTATTTGTTTATTTATTTGTTGTTATGGCTGAGGCAGAAACACTTTTGTTCTTTGGAGTTCTTTGGAGTTAAGCCTGAAGTCTGATTCTCTAACCCTATCAGTGGTTCTATGAAGTTTCTATATCCCTAAATAAATCCCTTCATTTAAAGCTAGCTAGAATGGATTCTGTTGACTACAACGAAGTACTATCACCAATACAGATACTTTCACCACACTGGTAAATTCTCCTTTACCATCATTTAACAATGCCTTGGCCAGATCTCATTGTTATAATTAAAAGTTTAATCTAGTTTACTTTAGACTTTTTATTTATGCCCTATTTAAATCTTATATCCAGTTGTCCAGCCCTGTTAAGCAGGCAGCCAAGTCAGAGAGTGAGACATTAGTCTCCCTTTCCTGATGATATTTTCAAACTCTACCAATGATTCCTTAAGTGTCCATCTCCTCATTTGTTAGAGAGAAGGGTTGGTGGACCCCTGCCTGAACTAGGATGGGAAAGAGTATGGAGTTGTTGCATGAGGTCCAGAAACAGCCTCACAACGTGAATGCTGCATTCCTGATAACCCTGACATCTTTCATGCTCTTTCCATCCCACTTGTCCTTTATAGATTGGGAAAAGTAGAGCTAGGATGATGGCTGGAGTTAAAGGTCCAGTGCTTCAGCCTCTTGAAAAGTCCCAAGATAGGTGTCTTAAAATCCTCTTTGTAGAGTACCCTTTGTTGTCAGGTCTGAGTCTTTCTGACCAGCTTATGGTGTCAGGAAAAGTCTCACTCGACATCCTAATAAATTTCTATTCATTTATAAAGAAGGAAGAGGGATATATAGACATTCACACACATGTATTCTTTTCTGGGTGGATACTCTAGAGACTACTGAGAATGACTGTTAGGAGGAAAATGAGATTAGGAACAGATGGTGTGATGGTATAGTGATAATTCTTCCTTTTCCAAAATCTTTTCTTTGTCTGGGGAGATCCTTACTTTCTCAGTTTTTAATGGAGACACAGCCTGCCTCCCACGATAGAAACTGAATACTTAAGCCACTCACTCTCCCAGCTACTTTTACAGCTAGAGTAGAGGCACATGGTCTAGGCTCAGCTGAGCAGACTCACAAGCTCTACTATGATGAGGGAACTGGTGATACCAAGACATAGAAATGAGGGGACCGTGCTGGTCATGGGTGGCAACAGCTGGGGTAGTAAGAGCCAATTTTCAGAGCCAATAGAGGCTTCCAGGCAGCCTGTTGTGGCCAGTGGCCTGAAATTGATGTGGGACTGTTGAGAAGCATGACAGTGGCTCTGCACTTAATTACGGTCTCCTTCCTGGTTCTTACCTGTCATGATTATGTTTCTCCAGTGTTCCTTTCAATTTGGTGAGTTTTCCAATAACTTCTAATATAAGCATTTAATGCTATGTATTTTCTTCTACGTACAAATTTAGTTATATCCTACAAAGTTTGATCTGTTGGGTCTTTATTTTCATTCAATTCAAGATATTTTCCAATTTCCCTTGTGACTTTCTATTTGACCCATGGGATATTTAGAACATGTTGTTTAATATCCAAATATTAGGGGATTTTAAAGATATTTTTCTGTTATTGATTTCTTCTTTAATTCTATTATGGTCAGAGGACATACCTTGGAAGATTTAAATTATTTTAGTATTTTCGAGGTACCACTGTTGTTGAGTGAGGCATTCTATCAATGTCAATTAGGTCACACTGTTTGATAGTGCCGTTTAGGTCACCTATATCCTTACTAATTTTCTATTTGTTCTATTGATTACTCAGAGAAAAGTGCTAAAGACTAACTATAACTGTATTTGTCTATTTCTCTTTTCAGTTCTATCCATTCAGTTCTATCCATTGCTTCACATATTTTGAAGTTGTCATGTTATATGCATGCATGTTTTGAGTTATGAATTGACCTCTTCTCTTCATTATAGTATAATATCCATTCATCTGTGGTAATAATTTCTTGTTTTTAAGTCTGCTTTGTCTATTATTAATAGAGGCACTTTGACTTTCTTCTTATTAGTGTTTGATTACTGTTTGTTTCTCTCCCTTTAATTGTAACCTATCTATGTCTTTAGATATAAAGTGGGTTTCTCATAGGTAGCATATAGTTGAGTCTTGCTATTTTCTTTTAATCCAACCTGACAATCTGTGTTATCTAATAGTGCATTTAGATCATTTACATTTAATGTGATTAAATGTAAAAGATAAGTACAATATTTATAATAGTATTATTTATAATAGTAATAAATAGAAAATATTTTGAATTTCCATCTTCTGGAAAATAATCAAATAAATTACTATGCCTCCATTCTATGGAAGATTATACATTATACTTCCATTAAAACAAATAAGATCAATGAATACATACTATTGTGGAAAATACATCCAACATATATTTTTAAGTTAGAAAAGCCAGTCAGAGAACAATATGTACTTTATGGAACAATTTATGTATTAAACAAAAATTCCCACCAAATAAACATATGCTTTCCTACACACACACACACACACACACGTGGATAAATATGCTTAGAAGAAGCCTGGAGGGATACACAGTGGACAGATAATAATGATATACAATGGAGTACACACAGTGTAGCATTAGGGGAACAGGTAAGGGAGAAGTTTTATTTATCTGTATTATTTTAATTTTTATCAAGGAGAATCTATTACTTGTGTAACTAAAAACTGATGAGTTGTGATTAGGATTATGGTTTAAAAGGAAGGAAAGAAAGGAAAAAAATATATATATATATATAAACAAGGAATTTTTTTCTCTTTAAGTCTGATGTTTTATTCATTTCATTAGGGATAGAAGATCTGGGAGTGGAGAACCAAAAGATATTTTTCTACCTTTTGTTCTACAACAGCAATAACTAAAAGCACGGTGAGTGTCCCAGGAGTACACAGTGTGTCTGGGGTGTGTCCTAGTGTGTTCAATTATGCTCATTCATGCTGAGACATTGCTTTTTGCCCATAAATGGAGGAATTACAACATCAGACCCGGAATGTTCCCATTTCCAAACAGCCACAAAAAGTCAACACAAGACTGTCAATCTCTTATTCTCTCTCTCTCACAAACACTCCCTGGAACCCAGGCCAATTGTAGAAAACAGATGCAGGCAGGCACTGTTTTGACAACACTGGAAACGCCTGTGATTAGGAGTCAGGATAGTGTAAAAATGATTAATATGCTCCTAAAAGAACAGGGAGTGCGCCTTCATAAGAGATAATTGGATGGGCGTCCTTGCTGGTATACACCCTCTCATACCCAAATGAGGGCACATATTTTCACACAGGTTTCTCCCAACCAACCCCCTGCTGAGTGTTTCCTGTAACATTTTCATTATGGCAAGGCAGGTGAGGTGGAAGGTTCTTGGAGGGTCAGGGGAAAGGGTGGAGTACAGCAAAAGAAGTGCAAAAATCTCCCTTCCATTGTAAAATAAATAATCTTCAAGCAAGTAATAAAAAGAATCTTGGTATCTCTTTTAAACCAACAGACAAGAGTTCTCTGAATTTAGCAGCATTCCATGGGATGTGGCAGTTGACAATACAATTACTAGTTTTTAATTTATGAGATAGAAAATCTTTGTTTAGCTCATCACACATAAATTAAGGTTGTCCTTGAATAACTTTAATTACATAACCATCTATTTACCAAGTGCTTGTCTTTTTTTGTAAATATATTCTCAGTTGTAAGTAGTCTGGAGACCAGGCCACCACTTTATCTTATGATGGAGGAAAGAACTCTGGGACTTAACGTCAGAAGAGTTAGCTCAGTTTCTCCATAGCAGAGTGTTCTTTTCTAAGACACTCAACCTCCCAGACATTAGGCTTCCTCATCTGTATTGTGGGGATCTTATTAGGTGAGTGGTCTTCAAGTTGCAGGCAGTTAGTTCTAGATTGTGGAGTGAGGGCCCCCACCTCCACTCCAAATCTTTAACTAGATTATCTCTGCTTGGTTCTGTTTGATATTGGGCTTTTTGAAGAAAAGCTTCCAAAAAAAGAGAAAAATTATTCAACAGTCTTTTTTTTCAGTGAATATTTACTAGCTCCTACTATGTAACTGGCACTGCTTAGGGCTAGAGGACACAGCAGTGGTGGTTGAAGGTATCTCCTGCTCTCTTGAGGCTCACACATTACCATTCCACTGGAACAGATAATCTTTAAGGCTCCTTTCTAGACCCAGCATCCTGCCCTGCCATGATATGTAAAACAGGTATCCTGAAGCATGCCCAGTGAATTTATACTGTCCAACTGTAACTACACGGGACAGACAAACCGGAAGAGAACTTAAGAGTGGTGTGCTTTGGAGGTAAATCAACAAAGTCAACATTTTGGCTCTGCTGGTTATTGCTCAGTGATTTAGGTCAAATTAATTAATCACACAATGCCTCAGTTTCTTTATCTATAAAATGAGGGTAATAATAGTACCCACCCCATTAAGTTTGGTGAGGATAAAAAGAAACAATGCTTGCAAAGCCTTAGGGCTATGCCAGGACTTCTGTAAGCTATTTTAGGTGCTATTGCTATTACCATGTACTCTTTCCGCCTTATGTCAAGATAAAGTATACTTGGAAAGGCCCTATAAAATGGCCTAATATAAAGCAGAATTCAGCATAAGGTAACACTAAACTGGACTTCCAAGACCTTTTTAATTACTGCCAGCCATAATATGTCCCCCAGTTGAACCCAAGTGCAAGGTTCAATGCATCCAAGTGCAATGTTTCATATGCATCTATCATAATACTTAAGTATATGGGAGACAATCAATAAATATTTATTGAATCAATGAACCTATTCCTCTAATGTTTAAAGCTTTCTGGATAGTTTTAGGCTTTATTTAGAACAATCACTGCCTAAATGCTGCATTTTTCTAAATTTTATTTTCAATTACAAAATATTTCAAATATACAGACCAATTTTTAACCTTATTTCTCAGCCCAAGTTTCTGAGACTAGATATAAAACAGTTAATTTAAAATTCATCAAGTGTAAGCTTGTGAATATGAATCCTCAAAATAATTTTTGCCTCTGTAGAGAGCTCTGGAAGAGATAGACCAGTGTCCCTGTGCTGGTAGGTGGGACTTTTTTTTCTGGTTCATTCTTTCACTGAGGTACAGCCCTTTGGAATTTCAAGTTCATGGATGGGGAGCTCAGGTTCAACTTTTCTTGACCATAACAAAGTACTTTCGCTGCTGTTCCTGCATAGGCATTAATATTCAAGCTCTAAGATTACCATTACCAAAGCCTTTCATACCCCCATACCCAAAGAACCACAAAAGTTCCCACTCTCTGGCCTAGTTTTTAGTTTCCCTTTCTTTCTTGTAAGTTTGCTATCATTTAAAAGAATGCTTGTCATGATTTATCTTGTTCTTTGTGTTTGTAGTGGCAGGGAAGGGTGGGTTAAGATAATCTAAATATTCAATTTATCTTGTTCATGTGTGTGTGTGTATGCATGTATGTGCATATATGTGTATGAGCTGTAAAGTCAAATTCTCCTACCTCATATTTGGAACACCACAGTTTGCTGAAAGCATTCTACTCTTCAAACAAATACCATGTCTGCTTCATGTCTTGAGTCAGTGTGGGGTCATCCTGGACACATGGCTATTTTGGGGGCTTGTGACAGGTCAGAATTGAGGTAGGACAATATTTGAGTACCTTCAATTCCATCCTACTCTGCCTTGGTGGGAACATCCAGAACACAATTGTCCCATTCATCTGCCCTCCATCCTCCCATGAAAGACAGAGACAGTGTGCAGAAAAGGTTCTTACAACCAGATCAGTGAGAGGCCCCAGGCTGAGGTCACAGCGGGTGGCACTGTGATACTTGGCCACGAGTGTCATCACAAGCTTGAACCTGATCATGCCTGGTTCTGGCCTTCAGCCAGCTCTCAGTTCCCCCTCCCAACTACACTATCACAAGCAGATAGTGAGGAATCCCAAGCACCAGGGACCATTTTACCCAAATATTAGCCATGTTGTACTTTTATTAAGGTTATATAGAAACATGTCACCTAGATTAGTTTGGGCTCTGATCAGTTGGGATGAACAGGCGAATTCCCAAATAGTAAGGTCTGAATTACAGAGATTTTGCAATAATTTCTAAATGAGTGAAGCTGACCTAAAAGTTCCTGTGACTTGTGGTGTTGTGCATTCATCATTCACGCTGGCTTACGCAGTCAGTAGCAGAATTATGGATTATTGGCTTCTGTACTTTAAGTTTGTGTTTGTTTGTCTAAGTCAGTTTCCACTGAGCCATACGTGGTATTCATTCCCAGAAACCTTGAGAAATATGGAGCTCTTTCTAATCACTTGCTCTGTTGCCTAACCCCCGTCCTCTGTGTGTGACCCTCTCCAATCCCTCAAAGCCTGGTCAGGAGTGAAATCTCTGCCATCTCCCTACTTGATTTCACAGGGACAGGACAGATCTAATTATGAATTATTAGTGAAGCACAAAAGGGTGAAGCCATCATTTTCTGAAGTGTAGTTGTTAGCCACAATCATGGATCTCCATATAGAGCTGTGTGGACCATTTCACTACCCTCCAGCATCCCACTCAATGTCATGTTCTTCTCAGGTGCTTCCTCCCATCTCTGTGGGATGCTCAGAAGCACTTTGCTCTCTTACCTTCCTTCTTAAAAATCCTACTCATTCCCTCATTCTTGTTGAGGGATTATCTCATTCTTGGCAATTGCAGGAAGCAGCAGGAACATCAGTTTTCTAGACAGAAGCCCTGGAATGGAGCTGCCACTCTGCAACTCACTCAGCCAACCTGACTTCATGATGCTGCTCTCCTCATACAACAGAGAAAACACGCCTAGAGACACCAGATCTCAGCTACCTTACCTTGGACACGGGATGATCAAGTGCTTCAGATCTCTGCTTGCCCAATGGCAAATTGGAGAGAACTAATCAGTTGGATTTGCCTTGTGAATACCAGTTGGCTTAATCTGAAAAATAGAAAAAAAGATGTTTACATTAATGTGAATAAGGAGGGCTGTTTTTCTAAATAACTTTTTAAACACCTGCTATGACTGCCAAGAAGAGGAGAAAAGTGACTATTAAATAATTCAAATTAAATATTTCAAAACAAGCAGCCATGAGAACTTTTTAGGAAGTAAAGATGTTGCTGTGTGGTCATTTTCATTCAATGACTAAAGACAACAAGATCAAGAGGTACAAGGAGACAAACCAAGTAGCTTAAGGGATCAGTTAAGACAAAATAAATAGCTTTGAAATGTTTTGTTCAGTAATTAAATTTATTCAAAGATGCAATATTAAAATCAGATTCTGTAGTACAGACTGATCATGTGGCTCTTGAAATTTGAGCTAAAGATAAAAATCTTAAAGTGCTTAAATAGGGTTGTGGCCATTCCATTTCCTGATTTTTTTTAATTTTTTTTTTTTTTTTTGAGACAGAGGCTCACTCTATTGCCCTGGCTAGAGTGCTGTAGCATCAGCCTAGCTCACAGCAACCTCAAACTCCTGGGCTCAAGCGATCCTCCTGCCTCAGCCTCCCGAATAGCTGGGACTACAGGCATGTGCCACCATGCCTGGCTAATTTTTTCTATATATTTTTAGTTGGTCAATTAATTTCTTTCTATTTTTAGTAGAGACGGGGTCTTGCTCTTGCTTAGGCTGGTTTCGAACTCCTGACCTTGAGCGATCTGCCACCAAGGCCTCCCAGAGTGGTAGGATTACAGGCATGAGCCAGCGTGCCCGGCCCATTTCCTGATTTTTTAAAAAAGCTCTGTTGTTTTATAATTGACTCCTAAGCATCTTGTTTTTCTTGAATTAGTCCTTGTGCAAAAAGTTTATGTAATACTGCTTTAAGTGTAAATGTGTTCTAATAGGGAACAGACGTTTAAAGGGAAAGAATTAATCTAACTGAACAATGTTGGAGACAGTGGTTAAGTACTAGCTGCCTTTTTGTTAACTCTCAAAAGTTATCACCAATACCCACCTATCACTATCCTTCAGGCCACCACAGATTTGCCTATTTATAAGGCTAATCATTATAGGCATATAGTAAAGAAAAACATGCCCTAGTGATTTTTGAGAAGTTACCAAAGGAAAACTATTTTTTCTGCCACTCCCAACCCTGTCCACATGTATACCTCTGAATTCAGGTACATTTGTGTCTCTGTGGCTAGCTGGAGATCCTTTACTAGATCTCAAACTCAGGTAACACACAGCCCCAGAGAATGGGCAACTACCTTATCCACCCCTAATATTCTGAGGCCTTATTTAATCAGATAGAAAGGTTAAAAGAGTAAAATAAGGGGAAAAATGAGTGAGGTGGGAGAGTTTGCCCAGGGTTCGCAATACTTCTTTAGCAATTTTGGGGGAGGAGTATGTGGATGGACTCCTTTTTTACTCAGCCTGATGACTGATGAAAATGATTGCCCTATTCTTATCTAAATTAAATGTGGTTGAGGTCTTAAAGTGACAGCAAAGTAACAACTGCCCTTTCAGACCTGATTTTTAATAAGTATTTTTCTGATCTTCAGAGAGGACAGGGGGAGATAATTAGGAAAGGAAAGCCTTATTATTATAATAATGTCAGGCCTGGGGAGTGGTGGGTAGAAGATGTCCATAGGTTTTTTTTAAAAAGTACTTGTCAAATCAAGTTCTTCAGGCTGAAAGAAGCAGAGGTACCTGTATGCTTGCATGACACTAAAGGAGTTCTTGCTCTGCATAAGGTGCCTTTGATGACTGCTTCATGGGGGTGGCTGCTTTGGTCACTGGATGTGCATAGGTGGGTCTTAGCACACAAAGGACATCTGGTGGGTATTCTAAAGCAAGGGGGATAATGTGCCCTCTTAAGCCTTCACCATCTAGTAATACTTTACAAATCCTTATAGCCTTATCAGCTTCTGCTGCCTAAAAATACATCTTTATCTAAAATGCTCATGTTCTGACCCTATGAGTATACTCACGGTGGATATGACCTGCCCCCTCTCACCAGTAACTCTAGGATTTCCTCATAGTCACATATCAAAGCATCGTAGAGCTGAAAGGAACTTAGTACCCTTTGGTCTAAAGAAGAATTTTACAAATGAGGAAATAAGACCCAGAGAAATAAAGTGACTTTCTCAAGGCTGGCTAGTTACTGAAAGAGCCAGCTTCAGAAGTAGCTGTCTTGATTCTCAGTCTTGCCCTGGATTCCCTACCTTTCAATGGCCAGGGATGGGGGCTGTCCTGGGTCTGGGAGAAATCTTTCAGGAAAAGGAAAGTTCCCATCCTCCTTCTCAGTTTCTTATCACCACCACTGACTGCCTCTGCCTCCCTGCAATGCCCCAAGCCACTTCCAACCAACTTAAGAAGGTCCATTGATTTTAAACTCCACATAGCAAGAGACCTAGAAAGTCCTGAGGCCATGAAAAAGTCCTGGGCAGGAAGAAAACTAACTGCCCATAGACCCAGCATTCCAGGTGATAAAATTTCATCTCAGTTTAATAGCAAATGCTTTTTATGACTAGAAATTGGTTGTTTCTGTTTTTTTTTTAAACCACTTCCCCTTGCCAGGTGTCCCCTAAGCATAATTAAAGCACTTAAACTCAAGCACACTTTCAGGCAGTGTGGATCTCTAAATGTACTGTGGGAAAAATGCACAGACTTTGCAAGCATTTCCACCCGGGAGTCAAGGAACTTTTAGGAAGGCATCTTAGCATTGAGTTGGAGCAGAGTTTCTTGCTGAAAGTTCTGGTCCTCATCAAGGTTTTCTCAGCATTTATAAATGTACTTAAAATATGAGGATTTTATGTGTTTTCAGCTTTTAAAAAAATGCAATTATAAAAGATAGGACTTCTCTAATTAGAACCAGAGACCAGGCAAAGGAATAGCTACAGGACTCTGCAGGGTGGGGGTCAGTCCTTTACTCCTCCTGGGATCCCTGACCCCTTTCTCCCTCTGTTGTGTCACAGAGGAAGGAGATAAAGCCTAAGATTATTTATCTATTGGTCTGGTAAACAGGTACAAGTGTGTGGGGGAATGAAATCTTGATAAATGCTGTTAGACAGCCATCCTAAATAAATAACCAAATCTAACAATCATAAAATTTTGGTTCACAAACAGGCTGACTGATTGCCAGTTAAGAAGAGTCACATAACTTATAAATAATTGCTTTAGAAATACTTTTTATAGGCCGTTCTTTCCCAGGCCACATTATTTCCCACTGTTGCCCAACATTCACACTGGGGCTCTTTTGTGCTGTCTCTTTGCTGTCCCCCATTGTCCTGTGCTTGTTCCTATCTCAGCCTTTCCTCCTGCCTGGGATGAGCATCCATCCTCTCCCTCCCTCTGCTGTGGGCCCAGCCAAGCCCTGCCTCAGCTCACATGCTGGTTCTCCAGTCATTTCCCCCATTGGATGCTCTCTTGGCCAATTCTGTCCACATTCATAGTCTGAACTCCTCACTATAGCTACTGGCTGCTATTGTTTTATTCACCCAGTGTCTCTCCCTCCTCTCCTGATGATGTCACCTCTTCCTTTGGGGGAATTATGCAATACCCAATCTGTGAAGTTTCCCTGATGCACATTCTAGGAATCCCATTTATAATACTTATTACACTTTTTCAGTAGCTTTCCCAATGGAGTGAATGCTGGTCAAGGAGGGCGCTGTGTCTATTGGGCTCACCACTGTGCCCTCCACATCTACGTTGCTGCCTGGCACAAGGTAGGAACTCAAGGAATGCTTAAGGAAGGAAATAAATTAATGAAAGAGGTCAGAGCTTCCTCGCTAGCCAAAGACAGGAAATTCACTATTCTGATATAGTAAGTACTCACTTAACAGATAGGTTCTTGGAAACTGAGACTTGAAGCAAAACAATGTATAATGAAACTAGTTTTACCACAGGGTAATTGACATAAATAAGAGCTAAGTTTCTATGGCCTATGATTTTGGCCACAAAACATCTCCACATTTCTAAATAAAGACCCAAAACACTTCTAACTTTAAACATTGAAATAAATGTGAGCTATGCATACATTTAAGAAAGATTAATAAAAACAAATAAAATAATTATTTACCCAATTATTCCAGCCCTGGTCAGGATGCCATCCCATCACAAGGCGCACATGCGCGCATGCACACACACACACACACACACTCTCACACTCACACACTCTCTCACACTCACACACTCACTCAGACTAGGACCATGTAGACATGCCAATTCACCTCACATACATATCTTTGAGAGGCCGGAGGAAACCTGAGTTTCCTGGAGAAAACCCACCCACCCATGGGGAGATGTGCAAACTCCGCACTGATCGTGGCCCTGGCTGGGGAGCAACTTTGTTCTTATTAACCTTATGATGAAATGACTTTGAACAAAATTATGTTATTTAAGGACCTGCTGTATTTCAGACAAAACTTTACTTTTGCATAGACAGGTCAATACTCAAAATTTTTCATACCTATATTTCACTTTGGTTGCAATGATCAGGTCAAAATGAAGCCTTTGGAGCTAAAACCCTTGGTAGATGAGACACCGAGGAGGCAGCCAGGGTACAGACACTGGGCTGAGCTCCTATGGGAAACAACAGTGGATGCCAGGATGCCAGGAAGCCAGGATGTAGATATGAAGGGAAGAGTCAGGGCAGAGGAAGTGTGGGTGGCAGTACATTCTTACAGTGGTCTGAAGGTAGAGTCTTCTGAGGTTTAGAAGTGCTAAAAAAACCTTTGAGCTGCAGTGAAACCACTCTCTAGCATCCTTCTCAGTTGACTATTTTCTGTTTACATTTTTTGCATAATTATGCATTTCCAATTGAGGGACTGGAATGCCAAGAACTTCTCTTTTCCCCATTGTTTCCCTGGGGGGCTATTTGGAAGAGCTACGAATAGCAAGATGGGGGTCTCTCTCCTGACCTTATACTACTTGCTTTCCACATGAGAGTGGCCAGTTGGATCTCCATGTGAAAACCTCCATACTCTCTGGGATGGTGCCT